ACCATCTCCTACAAATGGAAAAACACCAAACCACTTCAAGAAACAGTTTAATATACCTGAAATCCTACTAACAAAAAAACGAAGCGAATACAATCTATACCAAACGAGTAAAACAGAAAGCAATTCAACGTGGCCAAATGCAACAACAACAAAATGCAAGGACAAGGCGTTGCATGGCAAATACACAAAAAAACGAAAGAAGCAGATGTGGACCAAAAGAAAAACACATCAGTGGCTGAGAAGCACTGGGCTGAAAGCTGAAACAGAAGGTCTAATTATTGCAGCTCAGGATCAAAGCCTCGCTACCAGATCCTATCACTGTCACATAATCAAGGATGGAACTAACCCGAAATTCAGGATCTGCGGAAAATATGATGAAACTGTCAACCATATTATCAAAGTGTTGTGGATTCCGAGATGAAATCCGGTCTCAAATGAATGACAAACGCAGGAATGAAATATAGCAAATAAATGTATTAACGTAATAATTCAATTTCTAATACGGTTAGTAGATCCAGAAATGCTGTTAGTCGCAATAATAATATATATACAGTCTGGAAAATTCAGTATCGAAGTAGGACTTCCTTCTGAGTTTACGTGCTCGCAACTGTGACTCCTACAAAGCGGTTACCCCACTCTCTCACTGTACCACTGTATCAGTGTATCTCTGTCTTCTTTCTCCTGGGTGTTCACCGGCAGCAGTACAAGTACACACTGGGCGAGTCGACTTGTATGAAAAAAGGGGTGGACCCCATAACACTAAGGGTGACCAGAACTGGCAAAAATGAGTATACCCAGAGACATAAGAAGGTAGCAACATTTGTGCACTGGAAGATATGCATTAACCACTGAGAGATGACTACCAATCAGACACAGTTACCCAAAATAGCGATGTAACTATCCTTTGGGACATGCCAATTCACACTGACAGGGAAACAAATGCCAACAGACCTGATATTATCATAAAAGACTAGAAATTCAGGAAGTCTATACTTATTGACATATTAGTACCATCTGCGAGATACACATCCATAAACATTATCGAGAAATTGTCCAAATACAAGAACCTAGAGATCGATATTAACAGAATGTGAGAAATGAAGACCGTGTCTGTACCAGTAGTAGTCGGAGCTCTGGGCTTCGTGAAATAAGGAATTGACAATTTTACTGAGAGTGTCCAAGGTAACATCAGCATAGAAGTTGTCCATGAAATAGCCCTACTAGGAACATCCTATATACTAAGAAAAGTGTTATCAATTAAGTGACAATTCTCCCATGGGGCCTAAGAAACATTTGGGCCCGGCTCTACAGGATACAAACCAGGAAATATAACACAGAAACAACAACAACAACAACAACAATAACAATAATAATAATAATAATAGATAACTATAAAAAAATAAGAAAATCAAAATCTCAAAAATATGGCCCATCAAAAATCCAATTTGTAGTGGAGGCCCCCAGTCTAATTGGAAAAGGTTCTGATAGAGTCATGGAAGTGATTCCTGGTAGCCGAAGCCTTTAAGAAATACGAAATATTGTAATCACACGTACAACTCACATCTTACGATGGGCTTTATCTATGTAAAATGTGTGTGATATTAGTTCTGTTTTGTTTTGTTTCTTTTTATTTTCAAAAAATCCTGTGAAAAATGCCAGGAAGCCACTTCTGACCTTAGGTCTCTGTTTGGGACCCGGAAAGAAATGAGTATACACCAGAAATCAAAGGAATAATAATAATAGTAATAATAATAATAATAATAATAATAATAATAATAATTTTCTGGCTTTATCATCTCTCATCTACCCAGGAAATTCTTGCAAAAACATTATCAACGCTTGTAAATAATCCCAATAAAATCCCGGAATGGATTATTGAAGGTATTACATACCTCATACCAAAAACAATTAAAACAGACGACCCGAAAAATTATAGACCGATAACATGTCTCTCCACAACGTATAACTTGATCACGTCTGTACTGACGAACCGTACTTATTCCTTTCTCGAAACAAACAGCACTCTCCCGCTGGAACAGAAGGCATGCAGAAGAGGTTCATATGGCTGCAAAGATCAACTGCTGATAAATAAAATGATCCTGGAAAATTGCAGGAGACGACGCAGAAATCTTAGTGCAGCGTGGATTGATTATCGTAAAGCCTTTGATAATTGGATCCTTAAGACTTTGGAAATGTACAAAGTCTCCCCTGTGGTATTAAATTTCCTTAAGCACAGCATGGGAATGTGGAACACCAAACTATACCTTAGTCACAACGGGGGCACTGCCATTTCCAACTGTCTGAATCAACCGACCAGATACAGAAGCGATGGCAAGATAAACCACTTCCCGTACCAAACAAGCTGACGTAGACAAAACCCGTACCCATCAGTGGATACGCAGTGCAGGGTTGAAAGCTAAAACTGAAGGTTTTATCCTTGCTGCACAGGACCAATGCTTGCTAACTAGGAATTATCAAGCTCATATACTAATATATTGTGTCAGCCCAAAATACAGATTCTGTGATAAATATCCAGAAACGATTGATCATCTTGTATCAGGTTGTACGATATTTGCACCCACTGAATATAAAACCCGGCATGAGAGAGTGGGCCAATATCTACACTGGAAAATCTGCAACTTCTACTGGAAGAAAACTGAAAGAAACTGGTATGAACACCAACCAGTCCCGGTTACGGAGATAGGACCGGTTACAATTCTATGGGACTACACAATACACACTGACAGAACAATCAAAGCCAACCGCCCAGATATTGTTATTAAAGATCACAAACAAAAATGGTGCCTCCTTCTTGATACGACAGTCGCTGCTGACAGCAATGTATCTTTGAAGATATTCAAAAAGCTGTCAAAGTACAAGGACCTTGAAATAGAAATCTCGAAAATGTGGCATATGGGAACATCAACAATCCCTGTTGTAGTTGGAGCCCTATGACTAGTTGGAAAAGATTGCAGTAGACGAATTGAAGGGATTTCTGGAAGTCCATTCCTCAAGGAGATACAAAATATTGTTCTGACAAGTACCCCACTTTACGAAGGGCTTTATCTATGTAATTTTTTTTTTTTGTCAGTGGAAAGTGTCATGATGCCATTTCTAACCTTAGGTCCCTGGGCGGGACCCGGAAAGAAATGTGTAAACGCCAGAAATCAAAGGAAATAATAATAATAATAATAACAATGGATTTTGTTTAGAAAAATGTAACTGAAAAAAAGAATTGTTTATCAAACCATCCTCAATAAAATTCGCCCCACAACTTTTAAATGTATACAGTAAAATATATCCTCTTTATTGTACATATATCCGCTTAAATTTACACATGTCCGCTTAAACTTACGTAATAAGACTAAGGAATGCTAATTATCGTTTTGCGCTCCGAAATTAAGTTATTTTTAATTCTTGCAATTTACGCTCATATGAGAATCAATTTTGCAATATTGGTCCTACGTGAACAATCAATATGTCAATTAACAAGGTAGAGGGTTAATGAATGAAGTTTTCTATGAACATAATAGGAGGAGGTAAGCAGTGCATATTATAAGGATATGGCGGATAGATATGAGTGATTCTGGCTTTGAAGAGTTTAAGAATTAAGTGTGAGGCAAAGCATCGACACGGTAGACCGTTCCACAAAGTAGCGGTTCTTAACAAGAAGCTGTCCGAATTGAATCCGTGGCATGGTTAACTGCAAAGGTCTGAACTGGTAGAACTGAGGAATGTAGCTCGTCAGTAGATTCCTTTGGGAATGGCGGTAGAATAACGAGAGTCTTGTGACCTTGCGTCTATGGGGAAAAGTGCAGTAGGGTGTAAAATAATTTGTAACGGTTTTTAAGATGCTTTTCAAATTGAAATTATACATGTATATGTAGCAGAGTTGGTTTTAGTAGAAAAGGTTTGAACTGGTGGAACTAAGTGATGTAGCTCCTTAGAATATTTGCGTCGTAAATGGCGAGAGAGCAACGAGGAGTCTGCGACGTTGCGTCTGTGGGAAACGTGCACGAGGGTGTAAAATAATAAAGCAACCACAAGACTCTGCAGAGGATTTTCATCGCCATCGAAGTTTAAAAGCGAAGTCTGCGCAGATTCTGCTCAGATGTTACTCCATTTTCTGTCCGATCTGACAATTTTAAAGGCGACAGGTGTATTCTGATTAATTTCTTCAGCGGTAAAGAAAACTGCCATTCTACAAGCGTCTTTAACGATGGATCCACACGAGGTCGGAAGTGAACTCGGGTCCCAATAGACATTCAAAGAAAGGAAGCTAATTGAGAGTAAAAACGTTCATCATACGCTAACATTCACGTTCTGCTCGGTGATGAGGAAAGGTTACTCGATTGGTTTGAGAAGTGGTGAATGTTATGAAACCACTAAGCGTGGTCGGAGTAGAAATCGGCCGTCAAGCTGTGGTCATTTAGATTTTTTGAGGTGCACAAGTATACAGCTGTATCACGTAACTATGAAAATTCTACTTTAGAAGACACGAATCGAAATTGATTGAATGATATGTTTTTTTACGGCTTATCAACCCTTTGCAGGTTATTTAAAGCGAGAAAATATTTTCAGTTTGTAAGAATTTTTTTTTTTAGAGGTGATAATAAAAAGTCCTATTATTAAATCATAGCTCGGATGAGAAGAGGTTGATTCATGCATATCACAAGGGTATATGCACGCGTAAGTAAATAGATCGAACTCGACCGTAATTGGAACTCAGCTCTCCGTTTTCCAATTCCATGTCGTTATCCATTACACCACCCGCGTATCCATTTGATTCGTTTTATACGGTTTATTAACCACTTGCACGTTATTTAAAGCCATAAAATATCATTTTTTAGATTGTACAATTTTTTTGACATAATAATAACTTAGTCCTACAAATCTTATTAATTAACCCATAGCTGGAGGAGAACAGGTGTATTCATACCTTTCTCAGGGTTATTTGTGTGCAAGTGAATATAACGAATCCATTAAAAATTGCATCCGAGCTTACAGCACCTCGTATTCCCAAGCAGTCATTCATCTATGTACTGACCAGCCTCGACGTTGCTTAACTACGGTGATTGTACGAGAACCGATGTTTCAACGTGGTATGGCCGTAAGACATGAATCGTAATAGACGTTCGTTCGAAAAGACACTTCCATTGCTTTCGTTTCCCTCGCGTTTGTGCAACGACATATCACATTAAAACACCAGTTTCTGAATCATCATCGAACTTTTGAGAAAGATATAAATTCACCATTTCTCCTCCCAGCTATGGGTTAACTAGTAAAACGTGTATTGCTAAAACATTATTGTCGTAAACATATTCTTGTAATCTTAAAACATTTGGTGGATTTAAATAACCTACAAAGGGTTGATAAGCCGTATAAAATAAATCAATCAATACCATGTTCTGTGAGCTTGGATGTAGGGATGGTGTAAATGGTAAAGATACGGAATTGGAAATCAGAGAGCTGAGTTCCAATTCCAGTCGGGTTCATTCAATCAAATATTTCCACAAGGGAAAAATAAAGTTTGTTTATATTCAAACATTTTTTTCATTTGTAAGCCATTTGTTAACAACTTTATATAAACCCCTTCAAGGCGTTGATGATTATGGCTCTACAGAATTTATCGTTTATCGTTCGAAAACAATGTTATTTTCCTTACTATCCCTCACAGTCTCTATGACATATACGCCTCACCGTAGAGCAATGGTTAGCAAGCCAAATGTTCGATAATTTTGCAGCTTTCAGTTAGTGATTGAAGTTAGTATTATCTGTGTGCAGTAGTTACTTGTTTTGAAAAATAGTGACTGACTACGTAACAAAACTAGTTGCTTGTCTTTCAATATAAAATATTTAATTATTAATATAAATCATTGTATAAACTATATGAATATTTATATATTAAAATAACAAAGATACATCTAAAATATTTACCTCTTTATACAAAATGTAACAAAAATAGTTTTATGAACTTTGGGGGCGGATTCCTTACATCAATACAAGGACAAAACAGTTTGATACTTTAAAATAATAAAACAAATAATTCTATAATAAATTAAATGTTTTGTAAAATTACTTTTATATATTAAAATTAGACATGAAATATATAAATTATTATATACAATATTAATATATCTTTACATCAAATATAACAATATTTATATATTGAAATGTTAAAACTATATAAAACACACAAATTTCCATAAAGTAATAAGACTATATGTAAAATATATAAAATTTTTATCTAGTAAAATAAAGACCTTTATATGAAATATTTAAATGTATATTAAAATAAATTATCTTTATATAAAATATAATTATTCATATATCAAATTAAAAATTAATATAAAATATATACAACTTTTATGTTGAAATAATAAATCTTCATATAATTTATATAAATATGCATTGAAATAATAAAACTTTATATAAATTATAAATATTCATATATTAAAATAAGTATTTACATAAAACTACATAAATATTTATATGTTAAAATGATAATAATTTAAATTTTATCAATATATATTTAAATTATAACACTTTATATACAATATAGATATTAATATATTAAAATAGCGAGATCTTATATGAAATATATGCATCTCCATTTATTAAAATAATATTCCTTCGTATAAAGTATAAGTAGTTATGGATTAAAATTCTTATATGAAATATATCAATCTTCATATGTTATTTGAAGCAAATAGAAATAAATACTAAACTCATCTTCACGCATAATTTGACAGCAAAAATGAACTTATTTAAAGAAACCATATTTTTCTTAAAAGACGTTGATTATTTGTATCTAAAAAGACGTTAATTTTTACGAAAACATATTTTAAATTACTTCTTTCTTAACGACGGCATTTTATGACTCCATCTCCGTTGAAATTGTAAACTTCTGTTCAAGACTTGCAAGTTTTCCTATTTATATTGAATAGGTAATTTAATAAACCTTTATATTCATATTAATAAATAAATATTTATATATTACTTTTATATATAAGTCGACTATATATTGGAATTTCTAAATAAGTTTGGTTTGGTTTGTTTTATTTTATGGCATATCAACCTCAATGGGTTATTTCAAGTCAAGATTTTTTTTTTTTAATGAATTGCTGGTAATATTTTTTTTACAAAATAATGGTAATAATTATTTACAAAAGTGTATTGCTGGTAATAGTTTTTCCTCAAAAAATGTATTGAAGTGTTTTAAACCCAGTTTGGTGGTTAACTATTTGCCCATAGTTGGGTCCCTAACAGGTGCTACAACCCGGGTTCAGAGTGGACCTGGGTACACCAGCAATTAAGAGGTGGTTTCACGCTCCTCAAAACCTCCTGATCAGAGGCCTTGCTGTTGGAAGTAGTTTATCGTCATACCCAGGACGTTCTAAATAAGTAATAGATCTATTAAATTTATCAATCCGGCATATTCTGTATCACTTTAAACGTTATTTTGAATGGATACCCAAATGTGAGTAACTTTTTTTTTATTTGCCAGCGCGAATATTCGATGAAAAAAATTCTTCCTCCTGCAGGATACGAACATGCATCCACAACGCCAGAAGAAACAATCGTTAGATCCGATGTGCTTTTAACCGACTGAATACTAGCTTTAAGCACACCTTTCTCGTTTTAGATTCCTGAAAATTCATAAGTGCCCAGTTTCTCATGCGAAGCGTATATAAGGCAATTTCTAAAGAAAAACTGGATTATTTATACTAATTAATACGACTTTTTATCACTTTAAAACCTACTTTTAGTAGATACTCATATTTGATTAGACGTTCCGTTTATATTTTAAACAGCTTATTTGTATTTGTCTACACGCCCGAATATTTGAGAAATCTTATTAAAGAAAATTACGCCCACCGGTAGGAGACGAACCTGCGTTACACTTTGCAGAAGAAATGGTCTTTACACCCGAAGTACTTTAACCGACTCAGCCACGAAGAGTGTCGTCGATTAAGAAAGCCTGAATACTGCCTTTTAACAAATCTTGATCGTTTTCGAATTCGAGAAGTTCATAACGTCCGATCTTCGTATGCGAAACGTAAAAGGAATTTCTAAAGAAATATTGAATTTGTTATATTATTAATCTGACAGATTTTCATTACTTTAAAACTTACTTTTATTAGTTATTTGAGTTTATTACTAAGTTGTATCAATAAGTTATTATTGTCTCAAAAATTCTTATTAAAGAAAAATCTGTAATACGTTACTTAAATAGTCAGGACCGTTGAAGAAAATAGTTTTTTTTTTTAAATAAACGGAGCGTCTACTTAAATATGAGTATCCTCTAACGGTTAAAGTGATAAAAATACTATATGCTGTTCTTGTACATTTGGTATAACGGTTATTGCTGATATTCGTTGTGGTGTTTCTTTTTGTTGCGAAAATATGTCTTGCATTTTTTAAAATCATTTTAACCCAAGCGACGCAATGAAGGCAATAAGACATAAGGGAATATGAAAAAAATATAGTATTAAGGAGAGAAGACAATAAGAAAAAATGAATTAAGAAGATAACGATTGATATTGCATTTAAATTTTTCAAGATCAACGTTGACAAGGAAGGTATAAACCGGAAGAGTGTTCCACAAGCGAGAAAATTGTAGAAATCGGAGAAGCATCAACATGGGAGTTTGTTCCCTACGGCATTGGTTCGTACGAAGAAGTCGCTCAAGAGGAACTTCTCAGGAAGAAAGGAATTCGAAGAGGAATAAGGGGGATTCTCTACAATGTGAATGGCATTAGCCGTGAAGATTAGGACTGGTGGAACTAAGGCGTGTAGTTCATCTGAACACTCTCCTTGCAAATAGCGATAATGCAGCAAGAGGCTCCCGACGTCTCACCTGTAGGGAAGGGTTTTAGAATGGGAAATAATTCATTTCACCCAAGGATACGTAGATGCTTTTGAACTCTATCGGGATTGGAAAGGGAAGACTGGGTAGCACATTTCCGTATATTTCAGCAGTACTCAATCTTTGGCCTGATCTGAGTTTTTTTTGTTTTTTGTTTTTTTAAGCGTTTCACCCCAAGTAAGGCGGGAAGCCACTAGGATGCAAGGGGTTACAGAAAATTTGGAGCAAGATCAGATAGGAGTGATAGAAGAAAGGATGAGGAGAAGGGTAGTGGATAGATCAAGGCAACTGGAGATGTCGATTGACATTACATTTGAATAGTTGAAAAATGTAGCTCTCAGGGAAGGGAGTTCCACAGGCGAGAGGTGCGAGACATGAAGCTATTGGAGTAGAAGAGACGGCTAAATTTAGGAGTTTCGACAGTGAAGGGGTGAGAGCGGGATGCCAGCCTCGTAGGGCGCTTAAACACATGAAATCTGGGAACCAGCGAATGCAGCACCTCGGAGCAATTGCCATGAAAGTATTTGTATAACAGACAGAGAGAGGCGACGGCGCGTCTGTGAGAAAGTGACTGTAGACGAGATGCCAGAGCAGGGCCAATTATATTGCATATCCGCCTCTGGAGCCTATCAAGAACCCCGAGACAAACAGAAGGGGTCTGGTAAAGGTAGAAAATAGCAGAAGGTGCCAGGTACTTGCTGGAGCAGTACAGGGAAGTGACCATTTTTCCATCATTTTTAACGATGGATCGTATGTACGAGTTCCACCAGAAGTCTGCAAGGATGTTAAGATAATCCTATTAAAAATAGATAAGCGAAAAGCATTTATTACCGTTGAGCATAACCATAACATAATATCCGCGGGTGTAGGTCAACTCGGTGTGGTGCAATGGTTAGCTACTTTGTCTCGCTCAGATCCATTCCAACTGAGTAGTGAGTTCGATCCTCACTGTATGACCCAGACTTTCGGCCGAAAGCTATTAGAAAATAATAATATGCGTGGACGTCACTGTGTTGATGCCGACGAAAAAGCAAATAAAATGTAAAAGCTCACGAGAGGGGAACACTATTCTGGCTGATTGTTTTCCAATCAACTTTAACCTTTAGAAATTTAAATGCAATCTCAATCCTCGTCTTCTGTCGCCTTGATGCATGTTCCTATGTTTTTCTTCTCTCAGTCTCGTTAACTGCCTCGATTCTTAGTGGCTTTATCGCATTACTTGGGGTGAAGTAATAATAATAAAAA